ATGCCCAATTTACAAATTAAACTTTATCATAATTACACAGACAGGTGTAGAAAAGACACAGCATACATAGCCTTTGGCATTATACGTGGTTTCATGCATCCCCTGGGTCTTGGATCATATCCCCATGGGTAAGGGGTCTCTATACTCCATGGCTTAATTCTGTCTGCTATGGACTGACTCTTTTCTCCTTCCTCTACTTTTCTTCTTCTTCTTTTTTAATATTTATTTTAGTTTTCAGCAGACACAACATCTTTGTTTGTATGTGGTGCTGAGGATCGAACCTGGGCCGCAGGCCTGCCAGGCGAGCGCGCTACCGCTTGAGCCACATCCCCAGCCCTTCCTTCCTCTACTTTTAACTGAATCTTCTCTTTGCCTCTTTGCCCCTACTGAATATTTCCTGTCCAGTTTGGATTCTGTCCCTGAAAGTTTCTCTTCTGCTTGAAGAAACATGTGTTAAGGACCCCAGTTGGGTGCATTGGACCAGGGTGTTCTTTTGTGTTCATTCACAAATTGAAGCCATCCAGACTCTACATATTTCAGCTGTGCCTGCCCAATTGGCTCACCAGTTTTACAATGAGTACTTGTCAACGATTGTAGTTTTTTTCTGCCTCTTGACAACATCAGAACCTCTTTGCTCTCTGCTTCCTGTAACTCAGTTAAAACACCACGCAGGTCTTAATATCACTAGTAGTTTATTCAATTCACACATATTTGGAATAAACATATTTGATTCATAAGGATGGTCTTATCTCTTTATTGGAGATGTTGTCTGTGCGGTTTTGCTTTTGCTATCCTACTTGCTATTTTTTTTTTTTTTTTTGGTGATTTGGGAAGGTGAACAAATTATGCTGCCTTTCACCATTTTCTAGATTGTGCAGCAAAACTCTAAAATTTCTTGTTTTATTTTACTTTATTTGCAAGCACCTCTAGGCCTATATCTATTCAAAAGTTTTTCTGATGCAATGCAGATGCTCCTTTGACTTATGGGGTTACATCCCATTAAACCCATTTTAAGGTAAAACTATTATAACTTGAAAATGCATTTAAAACACTTAACCTACCAAACATTGTAGCTTGACCTAGCTTACTTTAAAGTGCTTAGTACACTTACATTAGCCTACAGTTAGGCAAACTTATCTGACATAAAGTCTATTTTATAAAAAAGTGAATGTTTATTAAATACTGACTATATTCATACCCCATTTGAATCAAATATATGATATGTCAAGATCATTGTATTGTCTTGAGCAACTAATAAAAAAATACTGACTATATGGAAAGTGAAAAACAGAATGGTTGGTTATATGCGTAGGCTTTTACAACACTGTAAAGTTGAAGAATCTAAGTGGAACATCATAATTCAGAGACTGGATTTTTTTTAAACACTATAGGTATACTCATGTCCACACATATTAATATTTAAGTGTTCCATAGTGAATGCCATTGATAATGACCTATTGATAATGTTTACATCTATATGTCTCCTGCATTCCCAGTCTATGTAAAATCTCTGGACAGTTCTTCCCCTTACTGTCTGGAATGTCTTTCCTGTGGTTTGGTTCTTGAATGCCCCTGGAAAGTCCATGGGGTAAAGCCTTGGCCCCCAACTTGGCACTACTGGGAGACAGTGGAACCTTTAGGGGGTGGAGCCTAGAGGGAGGTCTTTAGATCACTGGGGGCATAACCTTGAAGGGGACTAAGGAACCCTGGTCTCTCCCTCTTTCTCTCTTCCTGACCATGAAGTGAATATAGTCTTCCTTTACCATTTGATTCTGCCATGATGTGTTACCTCATCACAGGTCCAAAAGCAATGAGGCTGACTGATCATGATCTGAAACCTCCAAAACTGTAAGCCAAAGTAAACCTTTCTTCTTTAAAAGTTGATTATCTTAGGTATTTGTTATAGTGATGCACAGCTGACTAACACAGTCCCTGATACTGACATGGAGCTCAATGGAATATGAATTGCACATCTGAAAAGTGCTCCTGTGTGATCACCATGCGACAAGACAGCCATAAATGCTTTTTATTTCTTTCCTCCCATAGCATTATATGAACATTGATTCTTAATCCAGGGGGTAGAGGAGGAGACCTAAAGAAGTAGGACTCCAAGAATTAGAATGAGGAGGAACTACATTGGGAAGCAGTAGTAGTTTGATACAAGTTTCCCAAGTGATTCTAGTAGACCTCCCCAGGGTTGTACTTGGATTATCTGCTCTTGGTGCTAGAGAAGAGAGGATGCCATGAGACTGGCCCTGGGCCCAGGTCACCTGGGGATCCTAGAGCCGAGGGTTAGGAAGTGACTGACTGAGATTAAGAGACGGTAGAAAAGAGAGAATGGAAGACATCAGTTCAAGGATCTAATTTCTTTTTGAGCTCATCTTCTTCAGGTAGCTTAGCAACTGAAATGGCTTTATTTTCAAGGCATTTAAAGTTATCTCTGCTTAATGTTAGGCTTAGAAAACTCAACTCTGAACAGAAAAACAAAATCTTTCATTTTACAGATAGAGATTAAAGGTATTGAATGGGAAAGCTTGAAAGAGGTGGCAATTTGGGTGAAAGTGTTTCCCTCAAAGACTGACTGATGGTATCCCATCTGTGGCTGTTTAACAGAGGGAGAGAGTACATGAAGGCCGAGGGGGGGGGAGAGGGACGGAAGAGATAGGAGGAAGTTCCCAAGGGAGAGGTGGGGAGCAGCAACTAGATGCCCCGGAAGTGATTCCAGACTCTGCCAACTTAGTAAGTGTGTGTGTGTGTGTGTGTGTGTGTGTGTGTGTGTGTCTATTACTGGCCTCTGTGAATGCTGAGGCTATAGTGCCTTCATTTCTGGGGTCCTAGGAAGTCATCGGGTAACATGGTCTGAAGGTAGACAAGATTCAAAGAAGTGACACCCTGACTTGAGTCCTGGCAGATGATTTATGAGCTCAATAGCATCGAGTATTCAGGATTATTTCTGAACAATCAACAGAGGTTCCGGCAACTTAACTTCGTAACTAAATGCTATATCATGATCCCTATTCTGGGTTCATGTGTAGGTAAGCAGACTTTTCCTCTGTGAGCAAGGACACTGTCATCTCAAACGCAGTGCAATAGATAACTTTATGTTTCTGAGTTGCTTATGTATTTTTGGTTTCAGATGCTGTTTCTTCCATAATTAAGGAAGGATCACAGGAATTGAGGTCCCTTGAACTTGGTCCCCTTATCTATAGTATTTTTCCTGTTTTCATTTTTTTTCCTTCCCGTTTCCTAGGTAGGACAGAGCCCACGGATTACATACTGCGTAGCTAGGGAGACAGCCCCCTGAGGGTCCTCTGCTTTCCTCTTTCTCTCCTCAGTCCCTCCTCAGGCCTTCTGAATCAGTCTGTTGTCCTTTTTTTTTTTTTATGGATGTTAACATTATCCATCCTCCATCCTCAGTCAAGGTTAGTGTCCCAGAAATGGACATAAATTAGACCACCACTATATTTGTTGATCCATAATGTTAAAAAAAAGGAGAACCTTACGAGTCAGAAGAGAAAAAGTGGTGAGTCACTAAAAAGAGGGTGTTTCTACTCTATTAATTTCAGCTACACACGTAGGTAATAACCAAGATGTAAAAGGTTTTCAGCTTTCATCCAACTAATGCTATATGAAACCACCAAGAAATCAAGCAATAAATAATGAAGCACATTTTTAAAGTTATTATATTAGTCTTGAGCTTGGAGAAATAGAAGATAGTATTGATTTCTGATATACTATTGTGCATTGATCTTCTCTTTCCATGTTATGGTTCTAAAAAACAAATCAGTTTGGCATAAAGAGAATGCCTAGAGAATGGGAGAACATCTTTGTCACCTGCACCCCAGATACAGCATTAATCTCCAGGGTATATAAAGAATTAAAAAATTTAACACCAAAAAAAAAAAAACCCAAATAACCCAATCAACATGTGGGTAAAGGAACACTTCACAGAAAAGAAATACAACCAGTCAACAAATATATGGAAAAAAAGTTTAACATCAATTGTAATTATAAATACAAATAAAGCTATTGTAAGATTTCATTTCACTCTAGTCAGAATGGCAATTATCAAGAATGCAAGCAACAATCAATGTTGGTGAGGATGTGGGGGAAAAGGAACACTCCTACATTGCTGGTGGGGCTGCAAATTGGTGTAACCAATTTGGAAAACAGTATTGAGATTCCTCAGAAAACTTGGAATCCCCAGGAAACTTGGAATGGAACCACAGTTAGTTGACCCAGGTATCCTTCTCCTTGGTTTATACCCAAAGGACTTAAAATCAGCATACTATAGTGATGCAGCCACATCAATGTTTATGGCAGCTCTGTTTATAATAGCTAAACTATGGAATCAGCCTAGGTGCCCTTCAACGGATAAATGGATAAAGAAAATGTGGTACATATACACAATGGAATATTACTCAGCCTTTAAGAAGAATGAAATTATGGCACTTGCTGGTAAATGGGTGGAACTGAAGACTACCATGCAAAGCAAAATAAGCCAATCCCCCCAAACCAAAGGCTGAATATTCTCTCTGATATGTGGGTCCTAATTCACAATAGGTGTATGTGTGGTGGAGGTTCACGAGATTGCACATGGGGTAGAAGAGTGAGGGGAAGGGAAGGGGGATGGGAATGGGAAAGATAGTAGAATGATTCGGACATAATTTTCCTATGTACATATATGAATACCTGACCAGTGTAACTCTAAATCATGTTCAGCCATAAGAACAGGAAGTTATACTCCACGTATGTATGTCAAAATATAATCAATAACAACAACAGAAAGTCAGTTCGGGTCCATAATTACCTCCAACGGGGAAGGTGTGTGTGCACTAGTTGTAGAATGTTGGACTGGGGAGGCACAGCGGAAGCTGGTGGTTTACTTTGAAATTTGGGTGCACATGCCTCATAAGCTGAAATCTTTCCTATTTTAATCCAGGACATCTGCGGCTCACAGGCCCATTCTTCCCACACTGTCCCCCCCCACCCCGACTTACTGTTCTTAGTGTCTTTGTCATTCAATCAGGAATCCTCTGGAACAGACAGGCAGATCTAGTGACATTCAGCGGATCCCACAGTGGAAGGAACCTATCAGAAGCACAATGCGTGTTTCAGTCTCCTGGTTACATACAACTAAATTGGGAGGGGGTGACAGACTTACAGGAATTCAGGAGCCCCATGACTTTTCTTTGCACGCTCGGAACCTTATTTGTTTGCTTAAACGTGAGGCTGGAACTGAATTCACATTGGTCTTCTCTGAACTTTTATCTTTTAAGTTTCCTTACTGTGTTTTGGTGAAACGCCACCCCCCCACCTCTGTCTTCTAGATCTTATTTTATATATTTACTCAGTTCAAGTATTTAACAAAAATCCATCTAGTTGGTGTGTTGTATGTCAGAGTACTGGACACCACCCTGGCACCTGGGGTGGGAGCAGTGAATGTCACCTTTGTCCCCAGCAATTTACAACTCAGCAGGTCCTTATCTGCATCTGCTGTCCCTCCTGTCCATCCCACCAGGTGCATGCACCTATGTCTTTAGGTTCTCCTTTCCATCATCTTGTAGATTCTCATGCCTGGCCCACAGCAATCAAGGGCTCAGTGTCTTCCATTAGCCTGAAATTTAAAGCCTCCGTCATCCAATTTTGTACCATCTTCCCCTTCCAGGAGTTCTCAATCCCAGTTGTGCAGCAAGATCCAATATGTAATTTGGGGAGGTCTGTTTGTTTTTAATACAGAAGCCCAGGAGCCCACATGTGGAGTGGGGCTTTTGGTTGAGTTCTCCTTGGGCTCCTGGTGTACAATGAGGTTTGTTGGAAAGTAGACTCAGTCTATTCTCTAGTCGGTCGCTTCAGCATGCACAGGTTACACAGATCCACGATCATCACTTTTCAAAAAGGACACACACATCCTTGCCTCTGAGCCCTTGCCTCCACTCAGCCCACTAGTGTCTTCCCCTATGGAAGCCCTAAGTTCTTGCTGTAAACTGTAGGGGCAAATGTCATGCATGATTTATCTTTAGCTCTCCTCAGGAACAAGAAATACTCATTGAATGCATGGCCCTGCTCAATCACCAACCCCTCTTTCCCTAATCCTTAGAGTCTTCATATTTTTGTTTGTTTGTTTGGTTGGTTTTTTTAGTTGTAGTGGGACACAATACCTTTATCTTATGTATTTATTTTTGTGTGGTGCTGAGGATCGAACCCAGTGCCTCACATGTGCTAGGCAAGTGCAAAGCCACAATCACAGCCCCCGTTGTCTTCATACTTCTGTAAGACAGTATTCTGACAGTTTGCATTTTACAAATGAAAAAGTAATTGAGCATCAATTAATTTAAGTGGCTTCTCTGGGCAACATAGGTAATAAGCAGTGCTGGTAAGATCAGGATTATAGCTAAAGGTAGGGTTCTGGGGCTCAAACTTCTAGTATGAACTGGAGGACTCAGAATAGCTTTGGGGTACAAGCATGAGACATGACAGTTCAAGCCTGCCACTTGGGAGCTTATTGAACTCAGGTGCCAGATCCTGCTCTGCTGCGTAGACCCCTCTTCTCATTTTGCCTTCCTTCGCAGCCAGAGTTAATTTTTCAAAAACATTTGCATCTCAGCAGGACCTGCCTAGAAGCCTGCTGGGCCAACCAGTGACTACAGGTGAACATTTCTAACCCGATGCCCGAGGCCCTTTAAAATAGGGGTCCCGCCTTCTGCTCTGGCATCATCTCGGGCTTTTTCTGTCCATCCACCATGGGCACTGCCCTGAGAACGTGCGTCGCCTCCCTCACATCCACATGCCCTACAATATAGTTCCTCCTCGGATGCCTTTCCCACTCTTCCTCCCAAAAAACCACACTCAGCCTTAGGACTGATTCCCAGGCAGTATTGGAATGACACTGGCCTGCGTTCAGACAAGAGGCAATCATTCATTTCTCTGTGCAGTAACCTAATCCTAGCCCTAATAGAGTTAAGTCCTTGTATTTAACTCTATTGATTATATTCCCGTACCCCACTGTCCCTTCCATTAGGCAGTGAGAAACTTGAGAAATGTTTCCCGATGCACTATTGTGTCATTATCATTTTCTTTTATCCCATCTTTAATAGCCAAATCATGGAGAGAAAATGCTTCATACCTCTTTATTTGACCACATATTCACATCTATGGCCATTTTGGTCAAAGGGTAAGGGGATAAATAGATGAGGATGGTGGGAACACGAGGTTAAGAGAATAATTCTGCAGCGCGCGCCAAGCCAGACGGGAGGAGGAAGCCCGGCCCCACCCCCTGTGCTAGTCCAGAGGAAGCCCATCAACCCTTAAAACCCATCAAAGGGGGTGTGGCTACCAGCACGGTTCTGCGGCTGATCCAGGTACCCGGTTTTCAATTCCCCCACTGCAATAACTCAAAATATTTCCCACAAGCTTTTGGGGGTTGTAGCTATCAACACAAAACAACAACTGTACAGGCACCTGGTTTCTACCTCAGAGACTAGAGTAGGGAAGATACAGGTGGAAGCTCATGTCCTTTCACACTGGCTATATCCACCACCCGGAATACAGAGGCTCAAGCTAGGAATAGACAACACCACCTACTGGAAGCAAGGAAAACAGTGTTCTGAGATACTTTTTTTCCCTCTTTTTCTCTTTTCTTCACTCTCTTCCACAATTTCAACATATGTGAAACCAAGAACTGTGCATGAACAACCGAATTACCAAAGTAATAAAATATAGAGGAATTGCATATACTCCACCTTCCCCCCATTTTTTCTTTATTTCTATCTTACTTTCCTTTTCCTTCTCTTATTTCTCTTTTCTTTCTTGTTATTTTTTCTTCTTTTTTTTCATTCGTATTCTCTCTATCCCACTTTCAATCTCCTAACTTTTGCTATTTCTACATAGGGTAACTATCTAAATACAGATAGGAGGTTGAGTCTATACATTCTTCCATAAATTACCAGTCAATTGGTTAGAGTTCTCCAAAGTTGCTAAGTTAGTTTAACCTCATACCCTCACTCCTTTCCCTCTAAGTATAACATCCTTCGTCTGAAATTAAGTTTTCTATATGCCACCAGATATGGTATGCCTTTTATGAAACTAATGAATATATTCTTAAGTAATAATTAAAAAATATATATAGACTTAGAATCTAACTATAAATGTATTAATAATGAAAACTTGTGCTTAGATAATGTACTGTTCATATTGGGAACTGTTAACATTGTCTTTCTCCGCAAAAGAGGGATTTTGGAGCTACACAAGAATAATATAAATATATAAGGGGAAAAACATTAACACAACAGTTTCACAAAGCTAGAAAGAATCATGAGCAGTATGAAAACACAAGGAAAGAAAGGACCACAAACAATACAGGTCAATTCAACATTAGATGAGGTAATATCTGCAGCTGATGGAATGTCAGACAAAGAGTTCAGGATATACATGCTTCAGATGATCTGGAGTCTCAAGGAAGACATTATACAGCAAATTCAGACAATGAAAAATCACTTTGATAATAAATTACATAAACAAATCCAAGAAGCAAAAGATCAACTCTATAGGGAGATAGAGGATATAAAAACAAACAAACAAACAAACAGAAATCCTGGAAATGCAGGAAACAATAAACCAAACAAAAACTCAAATGAGAGTATTACCAGCAGAGTAGAACACTTAGAAGATAGAACTTCAGACAATGAAGACAAAGTTTTTCAACTTGAAAAGAACATAGACAGCTCAGCAAGAATGTTAAGAAATCATGAGCAGAACATCCAAGAATTATGGGATAACATAAAGAGACCAAACCTAAGAGTTATTGGGATACAAGAGGGTATAGAGGTCCAAACCAAGGGAATGAGCAATCTATTCAATGAAATAATACTAGAAAACTTCCAGACTTAAAGAATGAAAAAGAAATCCAAATACTAGAAGCCTACAGGACACCGAATGTACAAAATCATAAGAGATCCACACCAAGACACATAATAATGAAGATGCCCAACATACAGAATAAGGAGAGAATCTTAAAAGCCACCAGAGAGAGGAAGCAGATTACATTTAGGGGTAAACCAATCAGGATAACAGCTGATCTTTCAACACAGACTCTGAAAGCTAGAAGATCCTAGAATAACATATTTCAAATGCTGAAAGAAAAAGGATTCCAACCAAGAATCACGTAACCAGCGAAATTAAGCTTCAGGATTGAAGATGAAATAAAAATCTTCCACGATAAACAAAAGTTAAAAGAATTTGCAGCTAGAAAACCAGCTCTTCAAAACATTCTTGGCAAAACATTACAGGAAGACGAAATGGAAAATAACAATGAAAACCAACAGCGCTAGGTAGTACAGTAAAGGAAAACATAATCAAAGAGGAAAAACAAATCATGTTAAGTAACATACATAATCAAATATGGCTGGAAATACAAACCATATCTCAATAGTAACCCTAATTATTAATGGCTTAAATGCACCAATCAAAAGACATAGGCTAGTAGAATGGATTAAAAAAAAGATCCAACAATATGCTGCCTATAGGAGACTCATGTGATAGGAAAAGACATACACAGACTGAAGGTGAAAGGTTGGGAAAAATCATATCACTCATATGGACCCCGGAAGCAAGCAGGGGTGTCCATACTTGTATCAAATAAAATAGACTTCAAGCCAAAGTTAATCAAAAGGGATAAACAAGGACACTACATACTGCTCAAGGGAACCATACACCAACAAGACTTAACGATCATTAATATATATGCCCTAAACAATGGTGCAGCTATGTTCATCAAACAAACTCTTCTCAAGTTAAAGAGACAAGTAGACCACAACACAATAATCATGGGAGATTTTAACACACCTCTCTCACCACTGGACAGATCTTCCAAACAAAAGTTGAATAAAGAAACCATAGAGCTCAATAATACAATTAATAATTTAGACTTAATTGATATATACAGAATATACCACCAAACATCAAGAGGATGGATACACTTTCTTCTCAGCAGCACATGGATCCTTCTAAAAATAGACCATATAGTATGTCACAGGGCAAATATTAGCAATTACAAAGGAGTATAGATACTACCATGCATTTTATCTGATCAT